CATTATTCCCCTCACCTACCGAGGCAGTAAAGGATCACACACAGCTGCATAGCGAAATGCAGAGGTTTTTCATTCATATAGTGTGCGATATCAAATTTCATTCATAAAAATAAAATACTAAAATAATTTGATTACTGATGTCCATGTAAATGTAGTCAATTATTTTGGTATTCTGGTAGCATTTCTTATCAGTGTTTAACATGGTTGTGCTAAAAACTATTTTGTAGAATCTTTTTTTTTCCAATTCCAATGAACAGGAATTAAAAATTTATTATTAAAAATAAAATATTTCAAACAAGACTAATGGCTTTACCTTCAAGTTCAATTCAATCCATGCTTACTAAATAAAACATTAATTTTAATGGACTGTGTGAGAAAGCAATCTTAATATTTAACATGTGGCCCAAATTATTGAAATTATTAAAATTTTTTATTATAAATATGTGAAATATTCAATTTCTGCATTAATCAGGGTTTCTGCAGGTTTCACAAAGTAATATTTAAGACTTTAAGACCATCATGAATGCAATTTTAGACTTATACAGGGCTAAATGCTAATGATTCTTTTCGAATATCCTAGTTAGACAACATTTTCACTTGCCCTGTAAAAAGTGTTAAATTTTAATACATTTAATAATAATAATTTTGTTTTGAATATTTTTTGTATTTATAAAAAAAATCCATTCACACACCCTATAACCCTTACCAAGAATACGCTGTAAAAAAAATCCTGGTTGCCTTAAATTTTTAAGCTGCATCGAATTAACCTTATGACTCCATTGAACTTATATTATGTTAAACTAACCTAAAACAGTTTGTTTAATTTAAATTAAGTTAGAACAAGAATTATAAGTTACAATGAACTAACAAAATATGTTGTCATGACTAATTGATCATATAATTATTACAGTGTAGAACAAAACATAATTGTCAATTACTTCAGTCTACAATAATAATAATAAAAATAATAATAATAATAATAATAATTTATTAATAAAAAATATAGATCAGGTCAGTATCCCTATAGCATTAAATGAATGGAGAACTTTTAAGCAAATGTTATTGTAAGGAAAGTAATTAAAGGATATTTTAAAAAAGTTTTATTGAGATGGATTGTTTGTTGTTAATGGCCAGATAGATGAACAAAGAAAAATTAAGATTAAAAATATTTAAGACAACATTATACATTATACTACAACACATTTCAGTAGATTTAAAAAAAAAATTTGCTTTTTAGATTTAAGACTTTGTAAGAGCCAGCAAATACCGTGATTAATGTTATATTTATATTTATTTATATAGTTTTTTTTAAATAGTTGAAAAAGTCACAGGGGAGATAAAATAAATAATAGAGAGAAAAAGACGTTAACCACAACATTATCTAGATTTATTAAACAACTACAGCATCAATCTTCTGATTTCTGACCAAAAAACCTAAATAAAAATATGAGTAGCATATTTGTTTTTTGTACAGTAACATTTCTATTTAAAGGTGTCAATGTTGAATGTTTTATCCGGTCTCCTACGCGTCTTTTATTTAACAGTTTGTTCTTCCTGTGCCTTTACACAGTTTCAGTTTACGGCTCCTGCATAATGTGAGCTATTCCTTTCTCTGTAAAGCGTTTGTTTAGTCACTTTTCCTGTGTGTACCTCCTGAAGGCTGTAATGAAATTTCTCATGTGGAACGGCGGAACAAGGCTCGTGGCTGTTTGTCATGGATCATTCGCAGTGAGCTCACACACACACACTCTCCACTGTCCCTTTACTTCCGTCTTCTGCTGACTAGCCACACCGTTTGCTTCCCTTGGCTGAACAGCCTGATGGGATTGGTAGCATCTCCTTCACAGTACACCGAATTGACTGTTGTGGCGATCCGTGCATCACTCGGATAGGTTTGACAGAACTTGTGGCTAGTGAGCGATGGGACTCTCTTTACGATCGCATGATTTTTTTCCCCATTTTGTTACAGGCGCCATTTTTACAGCCAGTGACTCTCAGCTTTAGAAGCACCACAGGTTTTTGGTCTGATCCATGACCTTAAAGCTGAAGATGAAGTGCGAGATAGAAAGAAACAAAGAGGTTAAGAGGTTTGCACATGCCCTGCACAGGTGGAGAATGAAAGTACAGGCCAGAAAAATAAAAGAAGATTGAGTGTGAGAGTGAGCGAGCAAGAGAGAAAGAGAGAGAGAGAGGGTTGGTTAAAGAGTGCAACAAAAAGCACAAAATCAGCTGAATGTAAATGTGCCAGATAAGCCCAGCAGAAGAGATATGGTGTGTGTGTGTGTGTGTGTGTGTGTGTGTGTGTGTGTGTGTGTGTGTGTGTGTGTGTGTGTGTGTGTGTGTGTGTGTGTGTCTACGGCCAGCCCCTGTGCTGACTTTGCTCCTCTCAAAGGAAAATTGATTTGGCCAGAGAGAGGTACTTAGATGAGTGGAAAAGAAGAATGACGGAGAGCTAGAGCAGTGAGAGAAATGAAGAGAGGAGGAGGACGGAGAGGAAGGATTTCTGGTACACCTATCTTTCCCTGTGAAATGTACACCAACTGTGCACGATCAAAATAGTTCACACATATTACGGCAATAATCACTGTTGTCTTAGGCGTTATTTTCAGTTCATGTGATTCTCTGTATTGGAAAATACCATATAAAGGATCAATTCGGCCAAAAATATAGATGATGTAAACAATAACAATGACCCTGATGTATTTCCTGTTTTACATTTTAAATTTCCATAGCTTCTGAGACTTAAAAAGTACCATGTAATGATAAATAATGTTATAATAGCTGTTATAACATCAAGTTATGATTGAATTGCCTCTTGTTACAGATATAAAACAGTTTAACAACAAGCAGGAAATGTTCATGAGCCAATTACATCACCACATTGAAAATATCTATAGTCAAAGTTTGATTTATGGTCTTCTATGGGGTATAAAAAAGACATTTGAACAAATATTCAATGGTTTTAGTCCAAAACATCATTGAGCCCCTCTGACTTAAATTGTTTTGGACACCACTGACTTTCATTGAATGGAAAAAAGCAGGCATTTAAAATAAAATCTTTGTTTTTTTTTGTTAAGAATGATCAATATGAGGGTGAGTAAATGAGAGTTTTCAAATGAGTTAAGGCCTGTACACATCCAAGGATGATATCGACAAAGTCAGTCACAAACAATAGTGACAAACTTGAAGTTTAAAAGGATTTGTAACGGGTTCCTTTTTTTGATCGATATATAAATCTGAACATTGCGTTTGATTTATGGATGCTCCATTAGAGGCCTTGTCCTGCCAGCACTTACCTATAACGAATGAGAACCTGTTGGGCGAGCTTACCACTCCGTCATCCGCTGTTTTAATAGAATGTCAAATCACACTTAGCCTAGCATGCAAACACACACATTACTAATTAAGGCCGTCTGGCCTGTTACAGAAAATCAATGCGTTTCAGCTCGATCCCTCTCTCTCTGCTGAAATGGAGGTCAAACAGTCCCTCCTCTTTGTCAAAAAACTAAAGAGGCATTTAATCGTTACAAAAGTTTTTTTTTCAGTTGCACATATATAATTTCTAGATTCTATAATCTCCAGAATCCAACAGGTTCAAATGAGAGGTTTCATTTAAGATAAAATATGTGCTTGTTTGAGCTGCCCAGGGTTGTGTTTTATCTCCGTTATTATTCATTTTATATACAAATTCATGTGTGAGGTAATTTAAAAATAGATATTGTAACGGATACAGATGATACCGCTTAGGTGAAGGAAGAACACAGGCTTGACTTCTTTTTAGACTGGTGTGAAAATTCAAACCTTCTCCGAAATATTCCTAAATCTGAGGATGGTTATTGATTTTAGAGAGAGAGAGCACAAAGCAAATCTCCTCCCACATTAATTAGTTGAGGAGCAAATTTAGTTCGTAACAAATTATAATTATTTGGGTGTGATGTTGGAAGATAAACCTAAGAGGGATGTATGGACGGTCTGTATAAGAAAAAAAGCTTCAGCATTGTACTTCCTAAAGCAACTATTGTCTTTTAATTTTGACAACACATAGTTGATCATGTTTTATAGTGCTTTTATCAAATATATTGCAATCTTTTGTGTGAGCCCAGAGAGGTCACTGGGGAAGGTGGTAACAACAGCCAGTAAGTTGTTGGGAATAAAACTAAAAAGCATTGATAGTTTATACAAAGGAAGAGTAGTAAATAAGACTATCATGATTGTCAATGATAAGAGACACCCTTTATTATACACTTTCCAATTGTTATCATCAGGTTGTAGATATTGTGTTACCAGATGTGTAAGAAATAGGATACAATGATCATGAATACCTCAAGCAATTAACTTTTTAAATTCCTCCTCTTAGTAGCAGTTGATGGCCAATAGACTGGATTTATTTAGAGTAGTTGTACCGTGTTTTATATGATTTATTTACATAAATGCCAAATGTGAAATGTCAGATGTCTCGGTGAGTGAATGCTTCAAATTAAATTTCCCTACAGCGACAAATAATGTTAACCAATAAACTGCATAACCCTTTTTAAGTTTTATCTGGTAAATTATTTCACCATTACAGAACCAGAGTCATCATTTCACGATGGAGATGATCTGATAATATGTGACTGTTTCCACATTGCAGGACCGTTTGGCCATGAATGGCTTTAACACGAGCCATTCTGATTTATTGATTCAATCTGGAGTGATTCTTTGTCTTGTTTCTCTGGCTCCCTGAAAGACACAGGAACTGCTCCACTACTATTTGGCATTTAATTGAATTATTCCCTCAAGCGCACTTCATCTCTCTGCGTCTCTTCAGTCATCTCTCCCGCTTTAACAATTGGTTTCATCTGAGCTGCTGTGTCTCTCTTTAATCATGTCTGCCTCTATCTTGTAGTCGTTTTCGCAAACAGCATCTTTTCTGAATCTTGAGGGTTTCATCAACCCTTCTGTGGTTTTCAAGCTCCATATGTTAGCATTCTCCTTAAGTGTTGTGTTTTCTCTGTCTGCAGTGAGTAACTACAGTCATGTGCTGGAGGGCCAGTCAGACTCCGATGATGAAGATAAGCTTCACATTGTGGAGGAGGAAGGGAGTCTCCTGGACGGGGCTGACTGTGACAGCGTGGCCCCTGACGATGACCCCAACGGGACCGCTGACCCTGACGGCAGATGGGACGATGGTAAGCCCGTCCTGTTGTGACATTTTTAATCAAGAAAGTGCTGTATATATGGAGTCTCAGTTCAGGTTCACCTGATCAGACAAGTTTCTCAAGAAGTGTTTACATAAGAGACAAACCTGAGTTCAAAAATAGACAGACGGAACAGAGCGCAAGTGCCTCAAGAAGCAAATCTTTGAAAAGGCAAACTATTTTTAAATTGACACGCCGTCTTAAAATGTCAATTTTGTGGCAGGATGCTCAGAACACAGTACTAAACTTGATGCAACCACCAAAGACATCTGTCTGAATGTCTATGGCTTTAGTTGTGGTGCTTTATCTGTCTGACAGACAAAACACAGCTCACTGTCATTACAGTAGATAAAGCATCTTTAGATGTTAAAGAACCCCAAAATACATGATATAATATATAAGGCAGTGTTTGATGAAAAATACGTAAATGTAAAAATAATCACAGAGAAAAATAAAAATCTATAGTCAAAAGGTTTCCACAGCAGTGCTTCCCACACATATTCACTGATACATTTTAGTTTTAAAACAGCCTTTTACAATGAAAATGATCCATGTCCACACTGCTGTTTCACCTATTGTTTCTGAACAGCCCTCCAACCACACTACACCACTGAAAACACACATCACCTGACCACACACACACTCTGGCATGCACTGCAGCGTATGCTCGCGTCTGAGCTCCAGGCAGTCAGCGGGTGCTTTGAGCACAGCTCCCCAGGTGAGAGCTGTGCACGTCGGACTGTTCATCAAGAATCTACCGCTGGATCTAATCTCACTATATTTATTAAACGTGATATTTAAATTTATATAATTAATCTTGTCTATATCTAACGACATTTCCCGACTTTGGTTTTTTAGATCACATTTTCATTTGACTGTTAAGATATTGAAACAGTATAGCCAGGATCATGTGAATGATGTTATAAACTAAACTGTTCCCTTTGAAAATTTACCCGACGTATCCTCGGGAGTTTGTTTTCCATATCAAACTTGCAAAGTCTAAACTACAGGGAAAGGATGCAAGACTGAACTTTGTGGGAGATTCCCAGCTGCCATTTCTGTGTGGAGTTTGCATGTTCTCCCCGTTCACATGGGTTTACTTCAGGTGCTCCGGTTTCCCCCACCAAAGAAACGTACTATAGGTGAATTGAATAAACTAAATTGTCCGTAGTGTATGAGTGTGTGAATGTGAGAATGTATGGGTGTTTCCAAAGAAGAATTAATGAATTCATTGCCTTAACTAATATCTCTAACACTGCGTTGAGCAAAATTTTAGAGTGATCAATGCGAGGTTGTGTTGTTATGGTGATTCATAATTAAACAATAGGCTTCGTCATACAATAATCAGTTATTTTATCAATAATAATCAGTTAAAATTTTAATAATTAGTTATTTTATTTCATCACAACAACCTACACAGCATTGGGACACTTAAAAAAAAACTTTTCAGATCTTTAGCAGTGAATTGTCACTACTAGCATAATTGGATTTGCGACAGAAGATTCCAAACTTGCTATATTTAAATATTTATCAGCATTCACTGTTGGTTTGCATGAATAAGTCACATTTATACCACCTCAAGAAGACACATGAAGAGACCTGAAATGGCAGTCAGTAAAAATTTTAGTCAGAAGAGGTCAAGGTATTCCTCTCATTAGAAACCAAGCACCAGAATTAGGCTCGATCCCAATTCTAACCCTTAGCCCTTGCCCTTACCCCTACCCCTCAGTTTGCACGTTCACTTCAAGGGGTAAGGACATCACAATTCTCTTATGCTTGAAGGCGTAGGGCTAAGGGGAGGGGTGAATAGTCATTCGAACAAAGATTTTTCAGAACCACACTTAAAACCAAAGAGTAAGAAAATTTCCCAGAAAACACCAGCCACAACGGCAGTATTGCTCAACCCGGAAGTAAGGAGATCCACAAATTAGTATTTTTTGTCAATAGAATAGAAGAATTTTTACAACAAACAAACACGTTTTAACATATTCATACTGGCGTTCGTGTTTTACCGGCATGCTTAAAAAAATAAATAAATAAAAAAGGCAAAATTTCACAATCTATAATCCATAATCATAACTCCTGTACAGCAGTCCCACAACATTCTCACACTCGATGACACTCGAATCCCCTGTCAGAAAAATCTAGTGGCTGAGAATGAGTTTTTTACAGTGTCTGCTATAATGTTAATGTTGTATTTGGTGTATTTAGATGAATATGGCCACTGCGTAAATACACAGTACAGTTACGATCTTATTGCCACATTAGATCCTTATGATAACATAGTATATGCCTTCAGTGATTTCTGGAAGATAAATACCAAAAAAATAGCACAACTGGAATAACAACAGCAGTCGTGATCGGTGATCTCATATTAAGCAAGAGATCGTGATGACATATGATGACGTGTGCAGGTGCTGTAGTGCTGTCCCTGAATTTGGAAGCCCTTCCCCTTAACCCTCGGTTGTAAGGGCCAAGGGGAAGGGGTAGGGGTACAAAAATAGAATTGGGATTGGGCCTTAGTGAGAGCTGGGTGGGGATGACCCGGTCACATGGAATGAAAATGTTTTCGCAGAAAGTTAGGGGAGTATAGCCAGTACAACTATAGCGATAAACCCCACTTTCAACAGTACTAAACTGCAATAGAAATACAAACCAACCTGAGCAATGTTGAACTAAAGCCAACCGAGCCATGCAGAACCATAATGTACAGTGCAGTGGAAAAGCAGGTTATGACACTGATCAATATTAGCACAGAAGCTTTTCCACACACATAGCAATAAGAAAAAAACGATCATCAACAAGTTGGAATTATGAAATGGAAGATAGTTTGTGTAGATATAACAGCGATACTTCTGTCTTCACAAAGTTTTTATGATTAAAAAAGCAGCAGCCTCAATGCTATTGTTTGTTTACAGTCTTGTTGTGCCTCAATGACATCACTCACAATTTTATAGACATCAAGCGATGAACATATAGCCTGAATTCTCTTGTTCATGACTTGTCAGCAGACAGCCTATTGCGATTAGAAACACTGATTGAGATACAATTGAGCACCATTCTTTTCCGTCCTTGCTTTCAAGTACAGACATTTTTGTCAGAAAAAGCAGACCTTCTTTTTATTGTGTTGCTGAAATCTTGGCTCTGTCTGGAAAATGAGCCTTGATGGAGGCTGACTGGGATACAATAGAGCTCTTTTGCCTTCGATGGAAGGCATTTCTCCTGTTTTTGGGTTAATTTGTATTGCCTGCAGTGTGGGGATTGTTTATGCTGTAGAAGCTGAACACAAAGTCTGTTGTGTGTGAGCTACCAGGGTGCTATTGTGCATTATAGTTAGTGTTGCGGGATGCCGGCATCATGGCAGGTAATATACCGCAGCTATAACCACAGCAACTGCTTGCACAGCAGCCTCTCTTTCAGTTTTTTCAGTCAGAACATTTCCTGTATTGCCAGGTTTGCTTCAGAAATTCATAACTCTCTGTCATTTTAATTTCTGCCAGTGTTCATTGATTCATTCATTCCTCACTCCCGACGTCTCTGTCAGTTCTCTGCAGGACGGAGCTTCAGCGAAGAAGAAAGTCATTGTTTTTGGCAGAGCTCTCCAAACATTAAACACTTCACAGAAATCTAAGTTGAGAGAAGCGACTACTCAAACTCTCTTTACCTCCACATCTTCTCTTTGTCCGCATGCTTATTCTTTGTTGTAGAACACTTGTTAGTCTCTAACATTTTCCCAGAATTCTTTGTCTACTCTCTTTTAACATGTTCCAGCACAGGATCCAAGCACCTGTTGTGCCTTTTCTCCAACATTTCGTAGCTTTTCCCTCACCATTGCAGCAAGAGGCCCAGATATACGAGCCATTATGAGGTGTGTCACATAGAGGAATTGGGCTGTTGAGATGTAATGTGCATTGTTCTCTGTTCTCAGATGTCGTGTTTGAGTTATATACACTTCTCTGCCTAAGCTTCCCATCATTCATAGAGCTCAGGGCTGTAAAGCAGCCACTAGCCGTAATGGTTCAGCACTATCAGTCCAACTCGCTCTCCCTCTCTCCATTTCAGGCTACCCTGCACCTCTTATTATTTTCTTTTTATCTTGGCAGTGATCTCTGTTTCAGAGTACCATCTCGCTGACTCTCTGCGGTCTCTCCGCCGGTGTTTGTTTTAAGCCTTCAATTCTTGTGCGCCCCTGTACCTCAACCTCCACTTTAACTTTCCCTCCATCGGTGCTATTTTTCTGCGCTTCATTCTTCACGATCAGATGACTATCCGCTCGCTTACTGTCAGCTCTCATGTTCTCTGAGATGAAAACGGAGTCATTTATGGGGTAAATGCTCTGTAAACCAATACATGATTACTGCGGTATGGATGGTGACGCTGCATATCCAATTCAATATGTCATATGGCTCCGTTCTCCAGTAATTTAACCACACATTTCTTGAACCGGTTGTTGGAATCAGCTATTTACTTAATGCGGTGAGCATAGGCACCTAGCATAATGGAACAAGGAACATGGCGGATGCGCTTACCTCATTTTTTTTTTTACTGTTGGGGAGGATTACTTTCTATATTTGACTCACAGGTTTTAAAGTGCATGAGCATATGGTGATGGAGAAATCGCTCACCGGGGAACGTGCTGTAAGTGCCTGACTCATAATGGAAATCCCACCTCAGGTTTAATCAGGAAAAGTGAAGCTGTTGAATTCTGGGCAATGTAGTATTGGCTGATTGGCAGAGTTGGGTGTAAGGCGTTCCACAGTAATGCATTACTGTGTTCTAATTACATTTTTGGGGAACACAGTAATGTAACAAATTACATTTTTAATTTGTGTAGTTTAAATACAGTTACTTAAGTCAATGTAATTGTGTTACTTGCGTTACAAATATAGTTTTTATAAGAAAAAATCTTCTTTTAAATCACGTTTTCCACTGCAACGTCAGTAAATAAGCATGCGTTTTCAAATTGCTGGAGAATGTGAGCTGAAATGGTT